CCGGGGTCAAATACCGTGGAACTGCTTGCAGTCGAGAAAGAAACATCACGCACACGCAATTGCAAAATCTCACCAGGCTGGAGGAGGCAAGCGAAACCCAACCACAAGGCCAGCACACAGCCCCAAATCTGCGCACGAAGGAAACCTTCTTCTCTCCAGCCCTCGCGCAACCCAAAAACAAACAGACCGTACAAGACCTGAGCTTTGATCGGGATCCGAGAACGAACAGGTTGAAGAGAACGCCAACCTTGTATGGCACGCCATGTGCCCTTCAAGAGCGTACCAGAAACGTTGAATGCACGTTGAAGCGCAACCACTCCCAAAGTAACCCAATACAGTTTGACCCCCTCCCGATGTGCATCTTCCACTGCTGCTTCAAACATCCGATCCAGTGTCTGCGCAGGTGTTTGTTTTGTCACGGAGTAACCCCGCTGCGCTAGTCTCCGCAACAGAGCTCTGCCCGCTTCAAGCAAGCTTCGTCGATAGGGCCGAGACAGCCCTATATTTCGAAGGCGCACCATGCCACCGCCGTAGTGCTTGCACAAACAGTTGACAGAATCCCAAGGGATAAGACGCTGCTATCTTGGACCAAGAACCTCGTGGCAGGGGTCCATGAATGTGGCTTCCGGGGCATTGATGGAGGATGAAGGGCAACCATTGGGCTGAGCTGTAAATTTTTGAAGGTCTGGGCACAGGGCAACCATTACGTTCATGGTCTGCATAAGCACACCACTGTACCTGATGGAGCCTATGTCCTGTCCGACTCAAGAAAGCTTGGGTTTCGTCCATCAACCACGCTTTACTTTTAGCAGGTCGCTCAAGGAAAAACGGAATACCCACCGAAATGGCCAGTTGTGCTAAAGCAAGAGCCCGCTTCCACAACGCATCACCTAGCTCTCTTCCAGAGCATGGCGGCGCCAGCCACACGAAGCCAACCCGGCCAGAAAGGATTAGTTCATCTATCCAGCTGTCAAAGACATCTAACCCCCAAAGATCGTCTACCGCTCTGTGCATAGGAATACCACCTTTCAAACACGCTTCTGCTAGACACCTTGCGCCTGGGAAGACCTCAAGCCCTGGGGGGAAACACCACTGCAGGTCATATTTCCACATCCACTTGGGCGGAGTATGGCGCCGAGGCAAAGGCTTGAAGCGTGAAGAGTAGTCGGCGGGGTTGGACTCCGTCTCCACCCATAGCAAAGCCAAAGCAATATTGCTGACTGTCAAATACGGAAGGAGCCCTCTCAGTGTACCATTCAACTTAAAGGAAAACGACCTGCCTTTAGCAAAAGCCCCAACAACTACCCGGCTGTCGTTAAGACAGATCTGCACACTCCCTTTCTTCGAAGGGTCTGCTGAGGCCCGGATGATCTCCTTTTTCAAAGCTCTACATTCTTGAAGGTTGATATGTGACGTTTGCCTGAACGTGTAGCTAGCTGTGACTGTCCAAGGCAAGCACTCTGCAATAGCACTTCCAAAGCGCGAAGGTTCCTTGGGTTCCTCCAGACCTGCAAGCTCTACTCCCCCATCACTCCGGTCAAGGCGTACTGCCTCCCCGCGAATCTCAGAACGCTTCCACAGCTCCTGGGCAAGGCGGGCAGATGCAAGCGCACGGGTGGCTCCCGCAGAGGTGGGGGTTGCATCTGTTGCCAAAATTGACTGATCCAGCCATCTTCGCATGTTCCACTTTGCAAAAGGAAAGTGCACCTGTATTGAACGTATTTCATCCAAAATGTGCGACGGGATGCGCATTACACTGTCATCTGCCATACCATCGACAAACTTGAAGATGTGATGCATCAGAGAAAAATACTCCCGTCTATATTGGAAAATAAAACACGTATAGCCCAGAAGCTTCTGAAGAATACACTTTGTAGCCTCACCCAAACAGACCACTCTGTTCCATAACCACCACACTTGTTGCTTCATGGCCAATGGGGCACCTACGGTGCCCTTGACGCCCTCCAATTCAGCCCCCCAGGCCTTGAAGGAAGTCTGAAACCGAAAGCTCTTGTGGGTGGCCCGTTCCAGGCCCGCTGCCGCATACGCAGCTTCGGCAGCTGCGACATGCACCACATCCGGATCTGTATCCTGTGGCACCGGGGCAACGAAGGGACTGTGTAAAGGTATGGTGGCTACTTCCTTCACTTTGTGAACTACCAAGAGATCGTCCAGGTAAACACCCTCAAGGAGGTTGCCCTGCGGCACATGTTGTCCATACACCAACTTGTACTCACTTCCCAGCAAGCCAAATTGTTCCAAGACAAACTCATGCATCCCTTGTGCAATATCACATGCGTTGGTATCACCCATGCCTAACACACGCATCACAGCTCGATGAGGAACGTTCGGATCGCCCCCATATTGCTTGACCAAAAAGGAAGGTAACCTACGGCCTACTGCATTGTACTTCTTCCAGTTCTCAGGGAGTCGCAGTGAATAGTAAAAATTGCGCAGGTCGTCTCCAGAGCCGCGTAAAAATTCATCTGGCTCCAAAAGAACTCGACAGAAGCAAGCTCCGGCCGGAAGCTTAGCCCAATCCAACCGGTCCATGGTCGCGTTTTCGGGGCGGCGATCAAAAATTAAACGGTCCTCACTACTGTTTTTCTTTACACAAAAGAAGCCTCCTGTCAGCAATCGTCCCTGGGAGTCTTTGGGAAGGTCAGATTCGGGGAAAATCGAAACCATTCCGTTTGCTAACAATTTTGCCATCAGCCGTGCCTCTTCGGACACAGGGACGCGATGGCAAGCTGGCACGATCTCTCTCCACAAATGCTCCGGTCGCCGAAGCCGGCTGAGATCACTTAAGACTGCCTTGCGATGTGGGGGCAGCCATGCTAGTGGGTCCACAAGTCCGGCTTTTTCCGGGATGCAACTCTCTCAGCCTGAACCGGAATTGCTGCGCTCACCTTCTCCAACACTGCTTTTGCAGAGGTGACTGGGGCACCATAGCATGCGTGACTCATCTGAAGCATCTGGAGGGCTTCTTCCAAAGTCTGTCTTCCCCCCTCCATCTGCATCACCTCTACACAAAACAAGTCTTTAACGAATTCTTTCACTTCGCCTAGCAAGCCATCAGCGCAGGACCTCACGTCCTCCAGTTGCTTATAGCCTACCCGCGCCTCAGTCGCATTCCGACAGTCAGGACAACCCAGCACCACAAAGTTGCTCCAACAAACCCAAAAGTTTAGGAAGGCTTTTGCAAACAAAGTGATCCTTTCATGCCCGACGACTGCCTTACCCTCCGCACTGAAGGCTTCTGGGTAAGGGAGTGCAGCTGGAAAAAGTGAAGTGTCATCGCTACCAGCCCGAGCCGGTAGGGTACTGTGAGCGCCCTTCTGCCAGACATAGTATCTAATGAACTTTGAATTCCGGCCTCGCTCCCAGGGAAAGAAACCCCGTGAGCAAGAATCGTGACCATGCATTTTTCTGGTGGGATCATCATCTGGCACCGGGAAGTTTGGATAACAGCGGTCAGACTGACATGTTCCGCCCCCCCCGATGCGCAGATGTGAACCCGCTAGTCGGCCTCGTCCTGGTCGGCTCCTCCCGCCTCCTTCGCCTCCTTCATCCTTTTCTTGAGCTTGTGCACGGAGTTCATGTAGCCGCTGATGATCGCCATTTCCTCCTTGGTTCCTGCCCATTCGCGACGGGACAAGGGGTCCGGTAGTCCGGTGAGTTGCCATGCACTGGCCCACTCCCCTGGAGGACGCATTGAAGCTTCGCTTTCATGTTCTGCACCAACTGGGC